CATGCCTTGAATCTACTCTGTTTAGGCCTGCCAGCCTTTCTTTTCGTCAAGGGAGGACACATGGAAAATTCAATGTCCACTTCAGGCCACTGAGACTAATCTGTAAGTGCTGGAATTGGAGTAGCATATGCAGCTTTGAATCTTGCTACCGAATAATATTCATGCAAATATGGGTGCATGTTTATCTTCGGTTGGGATGCTAAGAAGAGAATGGCATGCTCACATGGTTTACCAGTGTGTTGCCACTCGAGGCAAGTGCAATCATGCAATTCAGTGTTAACAACATGTCTCCTTCCAGTTTTGTTATCTCTAACTTCAGCACCCCAAGGTGAAGATTTTTCAACAAATAAATGTGAAAGATTTCTGCTCTTATTGACCACCTGTTGTACCACTGCTGGAAGCTTATCACCTTGCAGACAATCACCTATCCTTCTTCTCAATTCCCACAACCGCATGAGCATGATCCTAATTTGGTCAACCATGTCATGCACAGGCAAATCTTTTAACTCCTTCACCTTGTTGTTGAAACTCTCTGCCAAATTGTTGTTGATGTGGTCACACTTGATGGCAGTGTTGAATGCTGACCTGTACCATAACAAAGAATGGTAGGTGTTCAGCCATGGACCAAACTCATCACATGCTGCCATTATCTTATCAAGATGATATTTGTGTGTCTGTCTAGTGTAAGATCTTGCTGCTGGCCACATGCGCCCAAATTCTTCTCCTCTAAATTTTTTGATCAAATTCATCCACAAATGACCGAAGCACTCCCTCTGCTCAGCATGTGGGAAAACATTTTTCACTGAATTTTCAAGCCCCTTACATGCATCTGTGTGTATAGCCAAAGGTGACACTGGCCCTAGGCATCTTTTCAACTGGATCATGAACCATGTCCATGAAGCCTCTGTTTCTGACTGAAACAAGCCAACAGCAATAGGAAACATCCAATTGTGTCCATCTAGAGCATTGCATGCTGCCAACTGACCATTCCACTTGCCTGTCAAAAATGATGAGTCTATGCTCAAATATGGACAGCACCCTGCTTTGAACCCATCGATGCAAGGCTTCAAAGCCATAAAAAACTTGGAGAACTTGACTTCACCTGAGGGTGATACCTCTGTATCTATCTCCACAACACTGCCAGGTGACCTCTTTTCCACCTCTGCTTTGAAGTTGTAAAGCATCCTAAATGTATTTGCCCAATCACCATATAAATTTTTCATTGCCCTTTGTTTTGCCTTCCACACTGTGGTATATTTCAGTTTAATGGGGTACATCTTTTCCAAGTCTACTTTGAGTTTATTGGCAGTAGTGTTTGGTGTTTTGGCTAAAATTGGGGTGATCTTTTCTGCAACCCAAAGTTGTGATGTCATGGTTGATACTGTCTGTGAACTTGTAATACAAGTATGTTGATTGGGGATTTGGTTAACCCTGACAGTACTTCCATCAGGTTGCAGTCTAGCAGATATGTACCACTTGCAAGGCTTCAAACTACCATCAAATCCTCTGCACCTCGCATAAAACTTCTTTCTATCAGTCCAAACTGTCTTGGCATCAAACTCATGTTTCACTGCATAAGTCTTGAAACACATCCTAAACTCCTTCATGCTTGGGAACAACTTGCCTACTTCAATGATAGGGTTTTCTTTGTCATACACATGCACCAGCTCATCATCATGTGCATCATCTACTTCATCTGCAGCTTGTTCCATCAATTGTCCATCTACTTCTTCATCAGCATTAGCAGGCAAACTAGATTCGCCCCTCTCCTGCTTATCTCTGTCATCAACTGGAATGCCAAAAAGTTTGGCCATCTCAATGTCAGGCATTGGTGCAATGACCAAATCAGTAGGCTCATCTAATTCAACTACATTCCAATCAACAGTTGTTGCAGTTTCAGTTTCAGTTCCAGCCACATGTCCCTCTTCGGCTATTACTGTAAGTTCAGTACACATGGGAATCAATGGCCTCTGTGTAGCCCAATCATCATCTACCATCTGTGCAGCCAATTGTGATGGCACATATCCAACCTTCGAAAAAATGTTCAGATCAACGAGCTCAGCAAAAAAATTAGCCCGTTTGCTTGTCCAGCCGTTTTGCTGATCGATTTCTTCAACAATCTGTTCGCCATCTTCTATTCTAACATACTCTCCTTTCCAATCATCAAACCGCAACAGTGATACTTCTTGCTCTGGACCCCAAACAATATTCTCCCCAATTTTTTCCACCCATTTCTTCACTGCCGTCTCTCCCATGTTCTGTAAAACTTGTGGATCAATCTCTGTAAACTCAACATCCCATTTAACAATTGTGTCTCTCTCAATGTTCTGTATGCTACCATCAACTAATTTTTTCTTTGATGGAAAGAAATTGACTGTCAATTCAAAGGTCCGAGCGGCAGCATCCCCTCTATCAGTGGCGGACAGTGTGAGCTTGTGAGAAAGAGCAGACGAGGCCACCCCCTAATTGCATGCAAAATTGGATCGGAGAGAGGCGCATTACCTATTCGAAGTTGAATCTGGTGGCTCCATCTCAGTATGCCCACGGGCTCCCCTCACAACCTATCGATTCCGCAAGCAAAAACAGAGGAAACTAGCTGAGATCTATGGGCCCGAGAGAGGAACGGGAAGGCGACTAGGGTTTAAACTCACTCACCATTTTCTGAGGACGAAGGCTCCGCCGCCGTTGAGAACGAGGGCTCCGCCGCCGCCACCGAGAACGCAAGATCCGCCGCCACCAGAGAAGAAGGGGGGCAGAGTGGCAGGCCCGGCATGGTCGGGCGGCAGGGCACGGTCAGCTGTTTTGAGAAACAATTAAGTTGGACCCACATGTCCTAACATAAACGGGCGGGCTTGGTTGACGACCAATTTAACCACATTTAACAGCCATGTCGTGCGTGGGCTATTTACCTGCTCAAATGCGTCGCACCACAGCCATTCGCTCGAACAACGTCGCACACTTGCTAATTCACCTCAAAAACGTCGCACAGGAACTATTGGCCCCTCTTTTCCGGGGCTGTACTTTTATCGATAATTATATATTTTGAAAGTATATTTTGGCATTATTAAATATTTATTTTTGCTTTGAAAATATATATTGCTGTAGTCACCTGGTTTTGTATGAGGAATTCATCGGCAAGTAGTGCCAAGAAATAGTCAGTTGTACTAAAAGTTTAACTTTAAATGTTTTTTATAAAAAGAACATTCAATTTGTACATATTATTTAAGAATTCCTAAATTGATCCTATGCATGCAGTAAGAACACCTGTCATGTCATATTTATTAAGTATGTAGATATAGATTATAGGATAATTGGACAACTAAGTTTTCGGGAGAACTTACTCTGGAAATACACAGTATGATCTTCATATGGTTATACAAAGTGTGTATAGCCCTTTTTACCAGTGAGTAAGGGTGCTCAATCGAATCAGACTGCTTTATGGTCGAACCCGGGCTACCGATGGGAGTTGATGTTGAGAAATCTTGGATTAAACAAGGTGATACATGAGCACCCATAATCTTGACGGTGTCATGGAGGGAACCGGAGGAAGAGATTCGGATCAGTCATGGCCTCATCAACTTCAGCAAGGAACTTGGACTATCATGCATGCTCAGTGACCCACGGGGTGCCCTGCATGAGCATGCGCTACTTCCTGTTAAGATGAATGGTGTGGGTGGCAATGTTGTTGAGGAAGTACTGGTGGAGGCGAGTCCATGCTGACAAGACAGTGCCGTCAGAGGACATCACAAGGTCCAGAAGACTACCGCCGATCGTGGTGTAAATCCACCCGAATATCCTGATATCGGTAGGTCGCAACTCGGGATTGTCGACGTCAAGTTCAAACGTCCTGTTAATGTGGTTGAGTACAACGCCACAATGCAGGAGGAGACGACGAACAACAAGAAATTTGAAATTTATGATAGTTGTTGGTGGATGGGTCGGGTTTGAAAGGGATGTAAGAGTGGATGTTGGTATTATGCACGGCAATGGGGGACTGAAGTTTGAAAAATTAATTGGATGGGTAAGAAGAGAGAGTTGAAGCAGTGGTGATAATGGGCACCATGGCGCCGACAGGGAAACTAGAAGAGGTATGCAAGGTTTGCACCCAAAGGGAGGTGGCGCTGGAATTGGTACGGGTGTTGCTCAATAGCAAGCAGATGACTCTGATTACAAAGTTGAATTATGTAATACTTGCGTCAAGGGTTACAAGTGTTGATGTACAACACATCAGAGAATGAATAGAGGGAGTGCCCTAACTAACTGGAACGTACGGAAAGGCGCACACAAGTGTACGAGAGATCTTAGATCCTAACCTCAAGGACTATGGTACAACACAAGCTTTGCTACACCTACGGGAGCTTACGTGGGGAGGGGGTTACGTAATGATTTGTCAATTTCTAATTGGTCAATAGTGGGGGCGTGGGGCCCATCCTGAAATTCAGGGGGATTTGATTAGTTCAGATTTCAGAATGAAGTTACGTAGGATACATAAGATGCATTACGTAGTTCTAGCATGTTTGGTAGTACGGGTACAACGGTACATACAGATGATGCATTGTTTAGCAATATTAAATTGAAATCATGTACTACGAGGGTTAGCAAATGGCAAAGGCTAACAATACACAATCCGTGCATACGTGTTGGTCACTTTCATGTATATAATCCTTCTCATGTCAATGTGCAAGCATTCAATCATTGGTGCACAAGGTATATATATACTATATTGAAGTCAACAACGGTTAAATTAAACAATACGGATCGCACTCAAAAAATATCTAAGCGATACAGATCAGTAAATTAGCTAGTTCTCTTTTTTTAGGGAGGTGGAGATAGAGTACTAGCTAGCTAGTACTGGGTAATCCTCACGTTGGCTGCCTATAAATAGCATCCTGCTCCATCATATGGGAATGCACCACTTAAGTAGCTAGCTATAGCTCATCTCCATCCATCGCATCTGTTCTTCCTCAATCCTCCACTACAACCACCCACCCAATTCATCAATGGCTTCATCTCTGAAGGTGGCCGCTGCCCTTGCCGTGGCCGTTTGCGTCGTGCTTGTGCTGAACATGGGCCAGCCTGTGGCAGCCACAGAATGCAAAGATTGTCTCGCTGACTGTGTTCACGTTTGCGTCGACTACTCTGACACTGCATGCAGCGGCATCTGCACCGCCAAACCTCCTGCATGCCAGTCATGCAAGTACACGTCCTTCCTTACGTGTGGTGGCACATGCTACAGCGCCTGTGCCCATTTCTGCTAAAGCATACAGTGGCTGTAAGCTGCCTGCGTGTGTTGGTACCTCGTTGTTGCTAAGCCATGTAATTAAGTGAACAAGTGCTATTGCTCTGTGCATATGGCAAATGTTCCTTCGTTCTATTGTTCCTCTTCGTTTTATCATTCCCCTTTGTTTCAACCATCAGTAAATGTGCATATATGTGTGCAAGTCATGTATATATGCTTTGTGCTTCTTTCTATCATGTGTCCGACGTGCTCATGCTGGGGTGGATATCAGGTGATACCACCTATTACATGCTCCCATGCTAAAAAAAATAAAAAGTCACATTCGATGTTTCAAAAAAATTGAAAACGATTATGGATGTTCACAAGACATATGTTTATAACCCCTAAAAATTCAGATCAAAATTCGAAACATACATTGAGAAACAAAAAAGACAAATCTGTATGTGAATAGTGTCATTCTTGACACGGTTCATGTTTTGTCTTCTTTTGTACTATTCATTCTAGATTTGTCATTTTTGTTTCTCAATAGGTATTTCAAATTTGGGTCTGAATTTTTATGGGTCGTAGACATATGTCTTGTGAACATCCACAAAGTTTTTCAGAATATTTTTAAACATCAAAATGTGATTTTTGAAAAGTGATATCATGGTAGCATATAAAAGGTGGTATCACCTAATATTTTTCGGCTCATACGGCCATTATAAAATAGGGATAAATCCTTATCTCAATAACACAGTTACAAAATACGTAGTTCAGCTCCCTCATTCTAGGGGTTTGCCTCTCTCTCAGCGGCTGATCTGACGGCGTAGAGCTCGCATCTAATTTCTTCAAAACTTATCTTCTTCTGGGCTGAAACTTCAAGTATCGTGCAAAATGAAAAAAATAGCATGCTATGACAAAATAGTGTGGCCCTTAAAATATGCAATTTGCGTGCTATAGCGTGCTATTAGCAAGACATTGTACGCTGAGATTTTAGAGAGGCATTGCTTAGGACGCTATAGCGTGCTATTAGCAATGCTATTTTTTCGCTCAACATGCATCACCATGTCAATTACATGTAGAAAATTTCACACCCTTTGGCACGAAATAAGAAAAATAAGTACCGTAGGACTGCAAAGTAAACCAATATATATGGAACTAATTGAGTATGCAATTTAGGGATACTTTATGGCACTCTCCGTGGCACCCACCGATATATTGCTAGCTCATTTTATAATGATCAAGAATCATTACTTTGAATGAGTTCGTTGAAACCGATGAATTGTGGGTTTATGATCAAGTCTATCTATGAACAATATTTGAATCTTCTCTGAATTCTTTTATGTGTGATTGGTTATCTTTGCAAGTCTCTTCGAATTATCAGTTTGGTTTGGCCTACTAGATTGATCTTTCTTGCAATGGAAGAAGTGCTTAGCTTTGGGTTCAATCTTGCGGTGTCCTTTCCCAGTGACAGTAGGGGCAGCAAGGTACGTATTGTATTGTTGCCATCGAGGATAACAAGATGGGGTTTTCATCATATTGCATGAGTTTATCCCTCTACATCATGTCATCTTGCTTAAGGCGTTACTCTGTTTTCATTAACTTAATACTCTAGATGCATGCTGGATAGTGGTCGATGAGTGGAGTAATAGTAGTAGATGCAGGAAGGAGTCGGTCTACTTGTCTCGGACATGATGCCTGTATACATGATCATACCTAGATATTCTCATAACTATGCTCAATTATGGCAATTGCTCAATAGTAATTTGTTCACCCACCGTAGAATACTTATGCTCTTGAGAGAAGCCACTAGTGAAACTTATGGCCCCCGGGTCTATCTTCATCATATTAATCTCCCAATATTTAGTTATTTCCTTTGCTTTTACTTTGCTTTTATTTTACTTTGCATCTTTATCATAAAAATACCAAAAATATTATCTTATCATATCTATTAGATCTCACTCTCGTAAGTGGCCGTGTAGGGATTGACAACCCCTTATCGCGTTGGTTGTGAGGATTTATTTGTTTTGTGCAGGTACGAGGGACTGGCTTGTAGCCTCCTACTGGATTGATACCTTGGTTCTCAAAAACTGAGGGAAATACTTACACTACTTTGCTGCGTCATCCCTTCCTCTTCGGGGAAAACCAACGCAGTGCTCAAGAGGTAGCAAGAAGGATTTCTGGCACCGTTGCCGGGGAGGTCTACGCAAAAGTCAATATACCAATTACCCATCACATACCCTTATCTCCTGCATTACATTATTTGCCATTTGCCTCTCGTTTTCCTCTCCCCCACTTCACCCTTGCCGTTTTATTCGCCCTCTCTCTCTATCCTCCCTCTCTTTCTCTATTTGCCTCTTTTTGCCCACTTGCTTTTTGTTTCCTTGTGCGTTAGTTCGTTTGCTTGTCGTTATGGCTAGTCCCTTACCTTCTGCCTCTATCTCTGAAATTGGGGAAATTATTGTCGATATGGACAATAATAATATCATGAAAAATTATGATGCTCCTGCTAAAGAACCACCCATCTTACATACAAAAAAAATCTGTGTTGGTAGTGGTAATATTATTGGAAAAGGAGTTATTCAAGATTTCTTTACTTGTGCCAGTGCTTTACCTTCTATGGGTAGTTCCATCCTTCATAGAAATAGTAGTCTTGTGGATGCTGTGGCCATGCTTGTAGTTGAACTTGAAAGACAATTCATGCAAATGCACCCTTGCATACAAAGGATTTTCCTAGAATTTTCTAATATTGAACATTCTTCTGTTAAGCGTGCCACTACTATCTTTTTGGCTCATGAGTTTAGATTCATAATAAAAGAAGCCAAAGAAATCTTTGCGCATTATAGGGTGGACGCTTGTCGTCCTCCCATAGAGGCCATCCTCTTTGATCAAGAAGAAATAATGCTTTTTCAATCTCTAGACTATGTTGCTTTCAATGAAAATCTTAGAAAAAAAGGTTCCTACCAATGTTTTAGGTGATAGAATTTCTGAACTTAATGATGATTTGGCTATTTGAAATAATGAACTAGGATATTCTCTTGAATATAGGCTCACAAAGTCTTATCAAAAGAATGCTTACAATGATGAATTGGTTGTGCAATACGAAGGACCAAAGGAGGAACCTATACCTCCTAAGGTTGATCTTAGGGACTTTTGCCCCATTAAATTTATCCCTTTTGATTACTTTTGCTTGCCTCAAAGAAAACTTGCCGTCGAACGTAGAGAATATGAAATGAGTTTTAATGATCTATCTTATTACTATGGCAATACCTAGATCTATCCTTGCTTTTTATGCCTAGCTAGGGGCGCTAAACGATAGCGCTTGTTGGGAGGCAACCCAATTTTATTTTTATTCCTTGCTTTTTGCTCCTGTTTAGTAATAAATAAATTATCTAGCCTCTGTTTTGGTTGTTTTTTTTGTGTTTAAGTAGTGTTTGTGCCAAGTAGAATTGTTGGGAAGACTTGGGGAAAGTCTTGTTAAACTTGCTGTAAAAAAACAGAAACTTTAGCGCTCATGAGAACTGCTTCCATTTTTATTTGGAAACTGATATTTAGTTAATTATTTTTGCAGATGATTAATAGATAAATTCCTCACGTCCAGAAATTTATTTTAGAATTTTTGGTGTTCCAGATCTTGCGCTAGCTACAGATTACTACAGACTGTTCTGTTTGTGACAGATTCTATTTTTCGTGTGTTGTTTGCTTATTTTAATGAATCTATGGCTAGTAAAATAGTTTATAAACCATAGAGAAGTTGGAATACAGTAGGTTTAACACCAATATAAATAAAGAATGATTTCATTACAGTACTTTGAAGTGGTCTTTTGTTTTCTTTCGCTAACGGAGCTCACGAGATTTTCTACTTTGAGTTTTGTGTTGTGAAGTTTTCAAGTTTTGGGTAAATATTTGATGGATTATGGAATAAGGAGTGGCAAGAGCCTAAGATTGGGGATGCCTATGGCACCCCCAAGATAATATAAGGACACCTAAAAGCCAAATCTTGGGGATGCCCCGGAAGGCATCCCCTCTTTCGTCTACTTCTATCGGTAACTTTACTTGGAGCTATATTTTTATTCGCCACATGATATGGGTTTTGCTTGGAGCGTCTTGTATGATTTGAGTCTTTTCTTTTTAGTTTACCACAATCATCCTTGCTGTACACACCTTTTGAGAGAGCCATACATGATTTGGAATTTGCTAGAATACTCTATGTGCTTCGCTTATATCTTTTGAGTTATATAGTTTTTCTCTAGTACTTCACTTATATATTTTAGAGCACGGTGGTGGATTTGCTTTATAGAAACTATTGATCTCTCATGCTTCACTTATATTATTTTGAGAGTCTTAAATAGCATGGTAATTTCCTTAAAATCCTAATATGCTAGGTATTCAAGATTAGTAAAATTTTCTTATGAGTGTTTTGAATACTAAGAGAAGTTTGATGCTTGATGATTGTTTTGATATATGGAGGTAATAATATCAAAGTCGTGCTAGTTGAGTAGTTGTGAAATTGAGAAATGCTTGTGTTGAAGTTTGCAAGTCCCGTAGCATGCATGTATGGTAAAGGTTATGTAACAAATTTGAAACATGAGGTGTTATTTGATTGTCCTCCTTATGAGTGGCGGTCGGGGACGAGCGATGGTCTTTTCCTACCAATCTATCCCCCTAGGAGCATGCGCATAGGGCCGAGGTTTTTCATGACTTGTAGATTTTCGCAATAAGTATGTGAGTTCTTTATGACTAATGTTGAGTCCATGAATTATACGCACTCTCACCCTTCCATCCTTGCTAGCCTCTTCGGTACCGTGCATTGCCCTTTGAGAGTTGGCGCAAACTTGGCCGGTGCATCCAAACCCCGTGATATGTTACGTTCTTTCACACATAAACCTCCTTATATCTTCCTCAAAACAGCCACCATACCTACCTATTATGGCATTTCCATAGCCATTCCGAGATATATTGCCATGCAACTTTCCACCATTCCGTCTATCATGACACATTTATTATTGTCATATTGCTTAGCATGATCATGTAGTTGAC